GTCCCTGTGTGTACCTGTGCATTCCTGACTGTGTCCCTGTGTGTACCTGTGCATTCCTGACTGTGTCCCTGTGTGTACCTGTGCATTCCTGACTGTGTCCCTGTGCCCCTCAGTGATTATCAGCCGCCAGCAGCGCCGCGTCCAGCTGATGCGGATCCGTCAGAAGGAGGAACGCAGGGAGGGCAGGAAGAAGAAGAAGAAGAAACAGGCGCAGCACTCGCAGCACGCACACCCGTCCAAGCCTCTGTACCCCGAGCCCCCCTACCGCAGGAAGCCCAACCCCATCCGCCGCTTCGACGGGGACGTCCTCTCTCCGGTCAGGCCTCACCTCACCTCCTCCCCCTCCTGCACAGTTCATTTAAAGAGACCCACAGAAATGCGGCTGCTTCTGTTTTGCACGATAAGCACTTGCACTCAGTGGGCAGGTTATTAGGCATCGTTCAAGATCCGCTCTGAGATCCGCTCTGAGATCCGCTCTGAGAGTAGATGCATTCAGAGGAGCCCTTCTGCGCCTCGCTGCTGTACTGAGCTGTTATTTTTGCGCGTGTGGCCTTCCTGTTAGCTTTAACGAGTCGGGCCACACTCCCCTGACCTCTTTCATTAACGGGGTGCTTTTGCTACCGCTGACTGGCTGTTTTTTGTTTTATTGCACCATCCTCTGTAAAATCGAGCCACTGTACTTTGTGAAAATGCCAGAATCGCTTAGCTCAGCTGTCTTGGCCTCTATTGCTCAGTTGTACACCGAGTCGCCCTCTTGACCCAGATCTAACCCATGCTGTGTGTGTTCAGTTACAGCCGCTCGAATAGCTGCTTGGTGCCTCAGGCAGTTTGTGTTAATGAGCTGATATACCTAACAAACAGCCCACTGAGTGTATTTGTTCTTTTTATTTATTGTAGTGAAATGATAATAAAGGCCTTCTCTTTCTTCCTCTCTCCCAATCTCTTCTTCTTTTTCCCCCTATTCCTATTTCTCTCGCTCTCATCTACTTCTTTTATCTCTCCCTCCCTCTCTCACTTCCTCTCTCCATCTCTCTCTATCATGCTGTCTCCACCTCACTCCCTCTCTCCTCCTCTCGCTTTCTCTCCCACTCGTTCTCCCTCCCTTTCTTCCCCTCTCTTCCCCACTCTCTCTGCATCTCCATCTCTCCCTCTCGTTTCCTTTCTCCCCCCTTCCCCTCTCTTTCTCCCTCTCTCTCTTCCCCTCTCGCTTTCTCTCCCCATCTCTCTCCCTCCCTTTCTTCCCCTCTATTTGTCGTTTCCTCCCTCTCTTCCCCGCTCCCTTTCTCTCTGTCTTCATCTTTCTGTCTCTCTCTCCCTCTCTCCTTCTCCCACTCCATTATACACTCGCTCTTGGTGCCTGGACCCTCTCTCAGAGCTACATCCAGAGTTTCCGGGACAGGCAAGTAGACATACGGGAATATCCTCAAGGCAGACTGATCAGCGGGGCTCACACAAGCGTGGACATAGACTACGAGTGCGGCTCCACCGTGCCCCTCACTGCTGCGGCCGGGCCCTCCATGAGGGTGTAACATCGCCCTCTGCTGGAAAGGACTGGTCTCGTCTCATGGCTGTCACTGTCCCAACAGAATAGCTGAAGTGAAGACCACTGCAGAGTGCCCTGTTTCCCAGTCAGTCACCCAGGCTCCCCCAGTGTACAGCATCCTCCATGCTGATTGGCCGGCAGAGCCCTGCCTAAGAAGGATTCATATTGGTTTGTTACAACTTATTACATCACATTTTAGCATTTTTCTGGACCCCTCGTCCTTGTACTGGGTGCCTGGTTGATCACATTGAAAGGGGTTGGGCATTCGGGAATCGCTTGGCTGCCTTCAGCTGCAGAAATACTTGCGATGATCCCTGTATTTCTCAGATTAAGGTGCCACGCCCCCCTGTGGCCACTAGGTGGTGTAAACTGAAGACGAATCACTCGCAGCCCTGAACTTTGGCCTTCGCCATCACTGGGCATGCTCAGTTTCCACTGCGCAGCCTGGGTGCTTCCTGAGATGTAAACCAGGGACTGAACACCCCTGCGCTTATTTTCTCAGGATTCGCCTTAATGCAAGACACTTTACACACGATGTTCTAATGGCTTGCCATGCTCACAGGTTTCTCCATTCGTAACGGCCACTGGGACCGTCCAGAAGTGCCACACCTGTCTTCAGGTGAGCTCCAGTTAATCACATTAAAAAAAAAAAAAATGTCCTCATTTTCATTTGCCGAAATGGCTCGACGCACAAAACCATAACCTTAAAGTGCGTCCTTGTTTAGCGTCTCGGGACAGTGAAGTGATGGGAAAAGGGGATTATTCTGGGAATCTCCCAGAAGGAAATTATTTTGAGAATCTCCCCAGAAGGGAATCATGAATTATTTTGGCAGTCTCTCCAGAAGGGGATCATTTTGGGGAATCTCTTCAGAAGAGAATTATTTTTGGAATCTCTCTGCTGGGTGCTTGACCTCATCTGCAGTTAGTCTCAGGAATTTGTTCTGTAGTGGCCTGCCCACTTTTGGTGGGGACCAGGGGAGCGGGGGGGGGGGGGGGGGGGGGGGGGGGGGGGGTGTTGAGGCAGATGATGAAAAGCTGGAGTTTGATTCCCTTATCACTAGCCTGCGATTAAGGGAGGGAATTTACAAGAAAAAAAGTGCCATTGTCATCACAGGTTATTTTGGTGATGGGTGCTTGGGGGGGTGACTCCTTCCTTAAAATGGGAGGCAGTGAACATTTTCCTGTCAAAAAGGAGGGTGGAGGGAAGCAGAAGGTGGGGGCACCCCTGACCCCGGCTCCACAGACCTGAGCGAAAGATGCAGTCTTGCTTAGGATTTCTGCTTTACCAAGCCGTACTGCATGAGTGTGTCGTAGTCGTGTCTCCTGTCCATGTTTCGTGTGACAAAACGCCGGAGGGGTGCTTTGGGTGCTTTAAGCTGGGACTCTCTCACCCTCTGTATATTTTGTAAAGCAGCCCTGAGTTATTCATGGACACTGTTTCATTCTCTCCTGTAACTCTGTCCTCCAGTTGATTGACCTGCACTAATTTATTGACCAATTTGTCTGTCTGCACTTTTGTGATGATCTCTGAATGGTTGTTTTTCTCCATACTACTGAATTAATGTATTATTTATTTCCTTGAATAATTATGTGCATTTTCATTTGCGTTTCCTATTCCTAAGTTCTAATTTCCCGGCTTCCTGGGATCTGTGTGGTACAGGGGGGGGGGGGGGGGCCTGGGCCTCTTCTCCCCCAAAGTACAGTGTTTGAAGCCTGTTGTGTTTGTCAGCTCCATGATGGGGGGGGCAGGAGTGTCTCTTTGGGGTCGGTGCCCCACTTTCTATTAAAGGGCAATTCAGGGTGGCTGATTGGGATGTTACCAACTGCTCTCGACAATCTGGATCTTATCATTGTGTCATTACTATTGTTATGATTATTGCTATTATTAGTAATATTATTTAGATGCCCTTCTCAAGGGCCATTCACATTTTGCAGTTTTTTAAATATCGGGTTTACAGTTCAGGTTTACTTTTTCTTAGTCATGATAAATAGGTGGACAGTTGGGATTGAAATCTACATCCTTCCGGTACCTCCTTAAACAGTCTACACTTCTGCCCTCTTTATTATTATTATTATTATTATTATTACTAGCATGTCTTGGTATGGACCTGAATGTGATAACAATGAGATTCAAACCCATCTTTAGTTCTGCGCTCTCGAATACTTGCTGGTTGCTAGTGGAGCACGTGTGGCTGTATGTCTGTGTGTATGGCTGCACGTGCGTGTGCATCAATGAATGTGTGCATTCGTACACAAGGGCTTGTGGATCTGTAAATAAATATATGCATTTGACAGCACACTGGCCCCCAGCTGGCATTTCCGTCGCCCCAGGAGTGTGGCGAATGCGTGTATGAATGTATGTCAATCTGATTTACTCCATTACCGTCTGTCACTCCCATGATGCCGTGCTTAAACACCATGTTTCAAAATGTACCACTAATATGTTTTCAATAAATAAATTGCTGACAAGGAGGTGGGATTTATTTACTTTTTTTGGGCAGAGTTCACTGCTGATTTATGTCGACCTTTAACATGTTTTGGACTAGAATCTCCGGCACTATCAGTCCACCTCAGAGACCAGAGCGACCTCACCGGCCCTCAAACACATACATTCAAGGACAGATAAATTTGGCTGCAGTGGTAATGAAATGCAAAAATCCCCTATTTAGACCTATTTCATAAACTGAGGTGTGACCTCATTATTTAGAGGAAATAAACAGGAGTATTTTGTCATCATTTTTCCAGTGTATCCTTGGCAACATTTGTGTCAGGTCCTTTAAATTTAGATTTCTTACCTGAAATGTTCTGTGATTATGGTGTTTATTGTTTGTCTTCGCACAGTCTGCTCCGCTGCTCCGCTGCTGCCCCTTTATTCTACAGATTGTTCATTTTTATGTGTCTGGCTTCATCCCATGACCTGCTCTGTGTCACTCAGCCTCCCCAAAGTAATTAGCCAGACCCCTGTGGGGCTGCACAAGCCCTCGGATGATTCTCTGATAGAACCCTTTAAAAACTGTGCCATTAATACGAGAAATGAACATCTCGGCATCTCACTGTGAAAAGAAGCCTTTGCGTTTCCATGGTAGCAGACGCACGACTGAGACGTTTCCTTAGGAACCACGTGTACCCAGCCGGAACGTGGCGGTTCATTTCCTGTTACATTCAGATTCTTAGCGATTGTTTTTATCCAATGTGACTGACAGTTTTAAGTTTTGGTCGAAGGAGATCTAGTTTTGGTCACAGCTTGGAGATGGGCTGTGACGTTCAGGCCAGCTGAGCGAGTGATTTGCTGTTACTATGCAGCCCTGTTGTCCTATCAGAGTGCCTGTAGCGAACCTCTCAGTTTCACATTGGGAGCAATGGAACAGTTTTAAGTCGTCCAATTGAAATGTCACATGATTCACATGGAGATCACGGTTCATGACGTGTGCCCGTGATGAAATGTTATTTCTGACTAAGCAGCCAAAGGGTTTTCAGAAATCGTTTTTTTATAATGGTGTACACACTCCCCCCAACCCTGACAAAAACCGTGTTGTGAAAAGGACATGGACGTGGACATCAGGAGATATCCAAATGGTCAGGGACAGAGATCCAGATAAAGGGAATCAAACGTTAATAGTGTCAGTCCTGGGGTGTTTTCTTACAAATCAAGAGGCAGACTTTAAAAAGGCGGAGCCAAGCAAGGCACCAAAACCAGCCCTGGGCCTGGATTCTGCAGGACGAGGAGTCGTAGTGTCACAGTAAGAGAGATGGGCTATGACGAAAATACTTTAATTGTAGTTTTCTCATTTATTTTTCACATCATTTTAGAAGAATATATTTGCACCTAACGAGAGCCCAGATACAAGATAGATGATAAGCATGTCTAATGACTGTTTGTTTACTGCTGATTTTACGTACAAATGATAAAATACGAGCAGGATTCCCTGCAGAGCACTAGCTGTAACATTCTAGGATACTTCCAGACAGTTTCCATATTGAGTTTTCCCATCATCTCCTCCTCTTTCACGTTTTTCATCCATATTGCCTACGTGACATGCTAATTCCACAAGTGACATTTTTTTTTCTATAACTTGGCAGTATGTCTGTCCATCAAAAAAGCTGAGACCGGCTTGGTGCATTGGAGTCCCTCTTGTCTGTCTTGGGTCTCGTTCCCCGGGGACTTACATGATGTCCTGCTGGTGCTGTGTGGATTCGCTGACCACCTGTGCAGAAGGGGAACACTAGTTAACCCAGGTGTGCAGAATGGACAAGCCAGGGAGTGGGTGGGTTAAGGTCAGCATGTTTATGTGTGGCTTTCCAACCTGTAATATAAGCTATCTTACCATTTTACAGTCATTTTTAGTAAAAGTTAATAATACCGCTAATAAAGCAAGCAGACGAAGTATCGGGAGTCCTGTGCACTGCCAGCAGAATTAAGTAGATTTCGCATATCAAGTGTTGCTATCTGAAACTAGTCTTGATGAAAATAATCCTGTGTGGGGCAGATGGATATGCCATGTGGTCGTTGATAGGGCACCATTAGCACGCTCTCTCTGCCACTCGTTATTCAGTCTGCCGCATTTATTCCCCCCATCGGCCGCTTATCTTGCAGATAGACGTGCTATTATTAGCGCACTCGTGGTACATGCAGGTATAAAATGAAACGCCTGTAGACAGGCCGTCCTGGATTATCCACCAAGGATGACTTTTCCGGCGAGACGTTGCCGGATCGTTTCTGCCGCTAACGACTCAGATCTGCCCGTGAGACGCTCACCTCCCCATCACGGGTCTCAATGGTCTTGATTAGCACCGTCTTCTTGGAGTGGACCTCGGACCCTCTCGAATGCACTTCTGGGTTAGTCTCTGCAAGGACAGGTTTCCACACGGATCATGAGATGCACGCGAAATACACCTGCTTGGAGATTCCAGAAGCCAACAGACTTTAAAAAAAAAACACAAAATGGAACAATAATCTCCCCCTAGTGGTAAAGTAATGATAATCTCGGCAGAAAATAGCATTTTGTTTATTCTGAATAAAATAGTAATTCAATAAATGTAGGGTTAAATTTGGTATTGTGATGTGTGTTAGGCAGTTTATTTGAACAGGATTTATTTAAAATCTTAAATTTTTGGTTGCAATTTAGAGTGGCTTTGGGACACTTGAGCTGCTGGGGCCCCACAGATGCTCCACAGAAGCTCCACAGATGCTCCACAGATGCTCACCTCGGTAGTTCAGGGCGGAGTATGTCTGGACTGGAAGCGTGATCCTGAAGAACACAAAATGAACTTCTGTGAATCACAAGTCCGAACAGTGTATGTTCTGTTAGTATGTCGTTTGTGATACTTTGCACGAGCTGCTCACTTCCCATGTCACGTACCTGCTCTCCTCTCCTTCCAGCAGCTTCCTGTATGTGGCGATCTCCACATCCAAAGCCATCTTAACATTGAGCAGGTCCTGGTACTCCCGCAGGTGCCTGGCCATGTCGTCCTTCATGTTGGCGATCTCAGCTTCAAGGCGAGTAATGGTGTCCTGGTACCCGCCGGCCTCCATCCCCAGGCGATCCTCCATCTCCTTCATCTGCCTCATGAGGGACTCGTTCTACGGAGGCCACGAGGCACCAGTAAATGGAAGGGCGTACAGACCGAGGAAGCGCAGCAGAAGGGATGCTAGAGGAGTACAGCAACTCACAGTGCCCTTCAGGGAGTCGATCTCGCACACGTAGGACTGGATCTGGTGCCGGAACTGCATGGTCTCCTGTTTGGACTGCCTCAGAGCTTCGTTATTTTTGTTGACAGCCTGGTTCAGATCTGTCACCTGGAGTGGGGTGGGACACAGAGACGGAGGTGAGCTGTCCTCGCCACCTCCAGAGATTCAAGGAGGAGATGGGTAACCAGTATCAGGATGGACATGTATTGAATTTCGTCCTTCCTTCGAAGCTCATCTCTCTTCTGAGTTTTAGCCCCTTTAACTGGGGCTGGTGATGTAT